ACTGTTTTCCATGCCCAATTCGGAGTGGCGTAAACAGAGAGGTGGCCAACCCATGACTTGGCAGAGGAGTATGCAGGAGATCACGAAACGCTTGGGTGCTGTCGGTGCTACTCGCCTTCCAGGATGGGGACCGCGTGATCCTCACTGTGCCTGGTTGGAGACACTACAAGATATGGCTGCCAACCGATATCAGTGGCGTTCTTGCTGTCAGTTTCTATCCAGATTGCCTGAGTGAATGTCTGGAGGTGTAGGCACCTCGGAATGATTGTGTTAAGCTAGCACTAAGTCCCTTCCCCGGCCACCTTTATTCTTTTCTTTATAATAAGACTTTCAAATAAGTCATGGTTGTACGGCAGTGAAGCATCGGTGTTGAACACTGATGTCATGCTGTCGATGCTGATGATGATGATGATGATGAACCGACTAGCACAGATGACTGTTTAATCGATGCTGAGACTTACTAACACAAGCAAAAGCCCTCGCGTGAAGAACTTCCTGCAGCTTTCGGTCAACATGTTAGTGTTTTTCATTAATATAAATGCTTGTTATTGTTTGGTGATCAATTCTAACCACTGTCTTTTCTGTCCTAGGTGTTTTTCAATGCAACATTGTATATTTTTCACCTCATTTTTGGTGAAACAAATTTACAACGAAAATGAATTCTAACTGTGACTTTGAAAACGGTACTATGGATCAAAAGAGTGCACCTGTCAAAAGCATATTGGATTTCTTCAGCAACCCCTTAGAGCCTACCGAACTCATTGATGCTGAAAACGATGTGGATGAGCTTTATGCGCTTTGCGATGACCCGATGCAAATACCAGTTAAACTTATTGACGACCAGTTCCGCTTTGCTGATCTTAGCTCCATACAGGATCTCTTCGTGGAAAATAGTGGGTTTCTAGTGGTCAGCGCGATTGGAATGCAGGTGGGTTCCAGTATTTTAGGTAACATGACTATCCCCTCTTATTTCAGTCTACCGGGAAGTCTAGTTTGCTGAATGTTTTGGCCAACCAGTTAACTCCTGATACCGGTCTGATTGATGGCCCGTTTGTTGTACAGTCCATGAAGAACTTGGTGACCAACAGTCCACAAACGGGTGGAATTGATTTATATATTACACAAGATCGGATCATTTTGCTGGATGCACAGGTATGTTTTCTGTAGGCGCATCCATTGCTGTTTGCTGATTTCATCCTGATGTTCCTATGGTTATTTTGCTTGAGGGTAAAGAGCCGTTATTATGACGTTTTTAGCATGAGTTGGCTAACATTTTTCATGTGCATCTGCAGGTGGTATTGCTGAAGCATCCTAAAGCCAATTATTCAATGTACAAGTAAGGCTTGAATTGCTTTAAGTAGCTAAGTCGATGATCGTGGTCATTGCAGTCAACAAAACTGTGATACTGCAGGCAGATGTCATCAAAGATCGTCTGTGCATATACGATACACTCATCTGACCAGTGTCTATCCTCGTTGAGTTTCGTCGCCTTTATTGCACAACTTCGATCCTCACTGTCTGAGGAAAGTAGAACGTTTCAACGTCATGGTCCAGATGGCTCAGTAGTTGAGGCGCAAACTCACTAACCGAAAGGTCTGTGGTTCGAACCTAACCCTGGTACCGCCATTGTCTCCGTCCAGGCTTGGGCAACATGGCAGTGTCTCAGTCCTCGTGTATCGTTCGAGGTGCATGGCAACTGGGCACTGAAAGGATGCTACAGCTGAACGATTAATTTCATCATTATTAGGTTTCACAGTCAGTGCACTGGTTCTCTTAATAGCTCTGACACGTGGTCCTACTATTGTTATTCTATTTATTCTGGATAAAAAAGCGTGATCCTTTCCTACGTGGTTTTAGTGTCCTACATTGTATCCATCAACTAGCCGATTTGTTGATGGATGCAGTTTTGGCAGGTGACTCGTAACTGCTCTTAAGTCCTGCTTGTACGTATGGTCTAATGCATAGATTCCCCCCTAGGGGGAAAAACTGTGGCATCGGTTGCACTCCTCCAAACCTTCGCTATACCAGATCAGATCTACAGAGTATATTATTAAGGTATTTCTGGTTTAGCCTCACTGTGTGTCCGGTCTCGGTTGGTAATACCTCGGTCACTGGTGTTTTTTGAGTCGCAGTCCCATAAGTCGTCTGGTCAGTTGAACAATAAGGTTGGCATAGTGTACACACGCCGTATTTGCCATGTCTGCACAGGTAGGTTAATGAAAACAGCATGTGATATGCACTCTGCATAATTTATCATTTTTTCAAGCATTTACTTGGACGAGGTATTCTCTCTAAAGAGGAATCAATGGTTAAAAAATAAAGTGAAATTTTCTGAAAGTGCTCTCTTTTGTGATGAACCACTGTGCTTGATTTCAGTGCAGCGTCCCGAACATTCGCCCGAAGTCTCCTTGGTTTGACTGAATGAGTTACTCGGTTAGGTTTCCATTAGTCCCTTTCCAGCTACGCTTTGAAAATAAATCCGTTTCCTAGGTCACTGTCGGTGTGTGGCACGCATTTCAGATACTGACTCGAACCAGTAACACTAAGTCATTCCCCGTTTTGCTCATTATTTACTTACTTTGCTTAGCCCCTCCTTTCATTCGCTCTGACGAATTATCATAGTCAAAGTTCAACAGCTCAACGTTCCGATCGAGTCGATATCGCTCCCCTGGGTTTGGGTGATTCTGCCAGTTCTACGTGCACCTTATTTGGTCCGGGCAACTGGTCTCTGGACGTTTGGCCGGAAATGGCATCCCTTCAGGTGAGTGAATACACTAGTAACACTGTTCTTGTTTAGGCAACTTATGGATACTCTTCTTCAAAGTTTGATTATCCAACTGCGTTTTAGTTCTGATTTTCTCTACTAGACAAGCGGCTGAAGGTGTCGCAACAAGCTACAGCTTAACTACGTAAAACACAGGACTGACGTTTGTAAAGGTTAGAATCACTTCCCGTCTTCGAATAAAGATTCGGTGGAGATTCCAAAATCATACAATCATGGACTCCGATTCCCTTGAATGGTTTGTGCTACGCTATTCTATGAAAACTAATAACTGATAAACTTTCTAACTAGCAAACTGCCAGCTTATCCACACGTCGAAGCGGATTTTCAGCTATTAGTCTACGTGAAAGTCGAGTTATCAACTGCGCTCAGTTTACCTCTCGTCCTTGCTTCCGCTGAATACGCAGTTTGTTGCTAGTTAGACCCTATCCACCTTCATCTACCCTTCATCCCTTTCAACGTAATCGCCCATGAAATATCAGTACTATGTACATTACTAATTACAGATGTTCACTGGCACAGTTCTGCCGTACGGCGACCACCCCTAGTGTTTTGTCCTCGGAATTCGATCAAAAAGGACTCAGCATCACCCCAGGGGAATTCTACTCGATTGGTGCAGACCATAAGTTTTTATCACCCTACAAGCAATATTGTTTATCGCTTTTTGGGTGTTCATTCGTGACGCTCTGTGGGCGATTTTGTGTGTTCGAACTCGCTGACCACTCCAGTCTGCCTAATATGACTGAAGCAGTGGACCATTGTTAAGTACATGAGGAAGCCCGAGTTCTCCTTTAATGAAGATTCTGTTGATTGACTCAAGGACGGTTTCTCAAATCCGTATCATTATTCCGGATAGTGTTGTCAGGTCGTGGAGCGCTGGCGTCACCGTCGTTTCCGCGTGACCTGGAATACCAATATGGTCGGTTTAGGCAGGGTACACCGCTGTTTGCGTTCATACTTCAACTTTTCTAAGTGCTTTCGTCATGGTAGGTCATACATCCT